CTTTACGGGAGCAGAACGCCTCATCTTTCTCCTGCGGAACAGCTGGTAGTTTCGAACTGCTGACCTTGCAGTTCACAGCCCGATTTGTAACCACTATGCTGTAGTGTTCCCCTAAATTCTTCTGAATTTTTTTCTGTGTTGTCCTTGCTTTCTGTCAATCTTTAGAAGGTACCTAAATTCTTTCATTCTTTTGAATTCTTTCTCAGGTAGTTCCATTACCATTATACCATTACCTTTTCTTCCTCAGAAATTTTTCTGGCTCTGCATCTTGGTCATTTTGTTTGATCCATTCTCTGTATCTTCACGAGAGCTAAAATATTCTATTGTCTCCAAGACATTGGGTTGTCAACTGTATTTGTATTTAATTTGTTTTTGTATGTTGGTGTGTTCTTAGGCTAGTATCAATGGCCCTTTTGTGGGTGTGATTAGAGAATGGAAATGTGTGCACCATTTTCCATTTGCCATTCATGCAGCTCAGGTTAGGGTGGGTTTGGCTGGTGTTGGCATAGCCTACTGTTTATCTGGTGGTATGTTGCTGTTGATAAGTGCTGTTGAGTCAGTTCTGATTCATAGAAACCCTATGCACAATAGAAACAAACACTGCCTGGTCCTGTGCCATCCTCAGAATTGTTAGTAGTATAGGAGCTGGTATTGGCTCCTGCCCAGTGGGTGGAGCTGCAGAAGGTATGGTTGTGATTGGGTTATGTGGACACTGTTGCTGTCTCCTGTTGGACAGGGCAAGAGGAGAAAACCCGCAGAGAGAAAACAAAAACAGAATAAACAAGCAAGCAACAATGAAAACAATATACTAAAGGAAAGAGAAGAAACAAAAATGGGCAGCAACAGGAAAAAGTGCATGTAATAACTAAAAAGAGAAAAAGGGGGACAGGAAAATAGAGATATTCAAGAGAAAATATGAGGAAGAGAAAAAAGTACTAAAAAAGAAAGGGAAGCTGAAAAGAGAATGAGACTAGAGAGTAGTAAAGAAAAGTTAAGAGGAGAAGATGGTAGAAATGAGAAACTAAAAATATGAAAATGGAGATAGAAAGGATAAAAATCAAGGGATGTGAAAGAGAGGGAGAAGGAGAAAAAAAATTATAAAAGCAACTAAAGAAAAATTAACAAGCAAAAATCCAGTGCAGTTGTGAAGTATGAGAGGAGAAAACTCTGGGGGGCTCCTGACAGCCCAGGAACTCACCTGGTGGGAGGAGGAGGGGTGTGCCAGTTTGGTAGATGGAGTTCCTATAAGACCTATGTGTTCTCTGTATTCGGGGCACCAAATCCAGAAGTAGTTCCTGAAGGCCCTGTAGCTTTCTAGTTTCAGTGTATGTCAGGACCAGACAGCAGCTGTGAGGGCAGGGTAACTGACTGAAGATTCCTACTTGTCTCATTCTGGCCTGGAAACTCCGTAGATCTGGTGCAGAGCTTGCCTGAATCCAGGTGCCAAGGTGGCCCAGTGGGCAACCCACCTCACACTGGCTCAAACCACATGTCTCTGAACTCCTGGAGAGCAGTGTCTATGCTGCAGTTGGAAGAGGGTGGTGGCCAGCTTCACCTTTGTTATCCAGGGGAGTATAGGGAACAAGGAGGAATCGCACCATTTCCATCACACATTTGTGCCATTCCTTCACAAGTCCATCTCCTTTCACAGCTCCTGCTCTGCTTCTCCTCCCAGTAGTTACTCAGTCCACTGCTCTAACCTTTCCTGAAGCTTAGGTTCCAGGATTGTCCTCTGGGTCTGTTTCACTAGGTCTCCACATCTTTGTTGTAGAGGGTCTTTATAGTGCATCTGCCTAGTCCGCCATCTTGCCAGAAATCCCTAATATGTAATGTTATAACAAAATTTGTATTTCAGTATACTTGCCAAAGGAACCAGAAAGCCCATTTGCAGTATTTTAAGTTCTGAGTTACAATGGCACTTCCCACCGAATAGGTCATCTTCATAGCAGTGGCTGACCTAATCATGGCATTAAGTTAAAAAGACAAAATCTTAAGATTCTGAACCTTCATATGCCTGAGAACTACATATAAGTTCTTTTTAATGTCAGTAAATGGGAAGTGCAGGGGAAGTCTCCTAGCAACAAAGACCAAGGCTAACAAGGAATAAAAGCTCATTTCCCTCAGATATCTAAAAGCCACACATTCTAAAAACCCAGTTCCCAAGCTGTGTGTTCTTCATGGTTGCTCCTCTTCCCTACAGCCAAGCCCTGTTAACCTGGCGTCCTCCCAATCCTTGCTGTGATGAATGAATGATAAACAACTGCTTCCTGGCAGCATGCTTAAAACCATCTTGCCTCCACAGACATAAGTAGAAGAAAACAGCACAGACTTAGTAACCTGCTCTGTTCCTTTAAGGGCTTCGTATACTTTTCTGTCGTATTTTGTTTTTAGTTGGTTTCACTTAAATGTATTTATTCTTTAAAATTTACAGATCATTGAATATGAAAAAAAACAAACCTTGGGACAAAATGATACCGGATTTAGTTGCGATGGGACCTCTAACACATTCAGGGTCATGTTCAAAGACCCTATAGAGATCCTGCCCAACGTGTGCTACACAGCTTGTGCGACACTGAAAGTAAGAGTCATGCAGCATGTTCCAGATGGGGAGCTCACGGGGCCCGTGGTTTTCTCTTAATGCCACAGAAGCTGAGGGTCACCGACAGTAGATCCTCTTAGTAAGGGAAGAAAGGAAAGTGTGAGGGAAAAGAGAAGTGCTTGTCAGCCCAGCTCTGCTCTGAAAAGAAATAATTTAATGAAGAAGTACCTCTTTGTTTAAGTAGAGATTGGATGCTGTACAGAAGATAAAATAATTATATGAAAACCTTTTCACTGTTCGCTAATTAACTTTTGCAAAACATTTTATCATTAGATGACTGAGTTATTGAATTTTAGTGTATGATGTCACCATAGCATAAAATGGTATACAGAAGTTCTAATGTAATACAGTAGTCTAATTAAAACACCAGTGCTTATTAAATGAAAATTACTCATGAACTTTTTGTTCTCATTTAGGGTCCAGATTCCCACTATGGCACAAAAGGATTGAAGAAAGTAGTACATGAAACACCTACTGCTAGCAAGACTGTTTTTTTCTTCTTTAGTTCCCCTGGCAATAATAATGGCACTTCAATAGAAGATGGACAGATACCAGAAATAATATTCTATATATAATTTAGCACCATAATACACCTTGGCTAAACAGTACCGTGTAGTCTAGTCCCCAAAGACCACAAAAAATAGTTTGAGTATTATGAATATTTATAAGATAAGAAACATTTTAGTTTCTTAAAAGAAATAGAAAAACATTGATTTAAAGGCAGATTTTCCATTTTCTAATAACCTTAGAGGGATAAGAGAACTGAGTTTAATTGTTTTTTTAAAAAAGCAGCTATTTCAGCTTTCTGTTGTGTACTATAGATCAGCTGACTTGTGGTCTTTCAGTAGTTTTGTAATTGAAAGACTCTTGATATATAGAGCTGGTTTGGTTTTTGTTGTAACTATTTTGAAGGTTAAGTAAAGTGAGATGGGTCGGTATTCCTACAGAATTCCTATTAACTCAAATACTAATTTTGGAAAATTAAGAAAACTGTCTTTATATTTGGGGTTTTGAGATATTAAGAAACTGTGAAGAAACTTGTTAGCATTTGGAATAGTAGTAAACGTAGAATAATAAATACCCAAGAAAATTTCAATGTATTTACAGGAAAGGATATTTTATAATAGTAATGTGTTACATATTACAGTTTTAAACTATAAGTGTAGTTTATAATGTGATATAAAGAAAGGCTCTAAAGGTGTAGTCTAATCTAAAACTGGATTCTTCATCACTAATTTGCACCACTATACTGGTCTATCTCTGTGGGGCAGGGGATGCTGCGGAAAATTCACAGGATTTAGATGATGATGATGATTGGATCAACAGATAACAGTTCCCCCTCTAGGGTGCCCAGAATCTTACTTAGCAAGAAACAGAATAAAATACTGACATATTTCTGACAGTTACTTTGAAACTTTAAAGGTATCAAACAGAATCACTCCGCCTGAAAAGTATGTTTTCTGTCACCTACACAATTTATCCAAGAAGTAAAATATGTGTATACTTGTGACATTATTAACATTACTGGTATAGCTCTGGTAGGAGAGGATCGGAAGAATGACTGAGTGACATTTATATACTTTTCTATAAAGCAAATTATTTTATATAAATGAAGTAATAGTATTCATTTCTTCCCTTGAAAGTGATTATCTTTTTTAAAACTTAAGTATAATTAAATTTAAGATCTATCAAATAGTTGAAGAGAGTTAAAAAAAATATTTTTAAAAATGTAAGTATCAATTTACAAAGAATTCTTTTCCTAAATGTAATTAGGATTTAAAATTTTTTCATCCAAAATAGTATTTCGTTTTCTTTTTCCAAGAACATGGCGAGCTGTGTTGGTGGCAGAGATTTCTTGGAGTTGTGGAAGAAAAGGGCAGTAGGCTCTCTGGTATCACAGACCTGATGGCTGTAAACGTCAGCTAACCTCAGTGTCTGTGGAATGCGTGCTGCTGGTAAACTGAAGGGTGACCAGCAAACACTGGAGGAACCATTATACAAAAGGATTCTGCCTTCATAGCTATGGTAGACCAGAGATAAATTCATGTGTTTTGATGTTTGAGGTATTTCAAATGTCTCGGGTGTGTTCTAATGAACAATGATTGTAACTAAATGTAGCCATAGAAGGTCCACAAAATGGGACTGTTTACAGACAGTGGGACAGCCCCGAGAATTTTCTTTCTTTTTTAATAATAAATATCTATTATCCTTTTTTTTTTGGCTTTTTGTCATTTGTCTCTTCTAAAAGTTGAACGTTAAGACACCACTTTGCAACAATTATTGTTGTTAAGTGCCGTCGAGCCAGTGCTGACTCATAGCAACCCTATATAGGGTTTCCAAGGAGCGGCTGGTGAGCTTCAACATCTGACCTTTCCGTTCAAACCGACTTTGAAATTCAGCATATTAACCCACAGTGCCAAACTTTGCAACAGTAGTTATAGTTGAGATTTTTTTTAATTTATGGAAGGAATGCAACACAGATTAAGAATGCCATGTTGCTGATGTTTTATATTACCACAATAATAAGTACTGCTGCCATCTATTGCTTTGTGGTCTCAGGCTTTTTCCGTAGTGGTTACGAATCGGGCTGCGAACCGCAAGGTCCGCAGTTCGAAACTACCAGCTGCTCCACGGGAGAAAGATGAGGCGATCTGCTCCCATAAAGATTTACAGCCTCGGAAACCCTGTTCAGGGTCGCTATGGGTCGAAACCGACTCGACGGCACTTAACAACAACAATAATCTCAGTAGGCAGGGGAATGAGGGCTGGCCTGTTACTCGCTGTAATTGTGTGAGGACCCTCTCACAGCTGTTTCTTATTAACAATAACTGAGTCGATTCTTACGCAGCAGGCTCTACACTAAATACTTAACTTACATTCTCCTTTGTTTCTCACGTAAGCACTATGAAGTTCACAGGCAATGAAATGTATGTATTTTAAAGGTCAGTAATTGGTGGGAGGTGGTTTTAAACCCAGATGTATCTCCCAAGCTACAGTTAGAAATATGTTCTTTTTCTGGGTTCAAAAGTAAGATGTATGTCACCATTCTCAAATTTTAAGATGCAAAATGTTAACTAGCTAATCTGCATTTACTATGGAATAGAAGTATTTTCTGTTTGAAGTTACTTATTACCAAGATCAGTTGGCATAACATAGTCCAGAAAGAACAACATTCCACTTTGATGATAGCCAGTGGGGTCTAAAAAGTTCGTGAACAGTCATCTAATGTGCAACTACTGGACTCTCAAACTCATAAAAAAGACCAGTCTCACTAGTTGAATAAAGACTAGAGAAACCCCAGAAACTATGACCCTTATTCACCCTTCAAGTCTGGAAATAAACTCACCCCTGTGACTCCATTTTCCGCCAAACAATAGACAGTTCTACAAAGGAAACACAGCAATACTAGTGAGGTATGCACAGCAGAGCAGTACAGTCAGCCATTCGAGACCAAAAGGGCATCGTTTACCCAGCACAAAGTTCAGAAGGATTCCGAGGAAAAACAAAAGTGTGATGCGTTTCAGTATTCACCCAGCAAAGTAAGATTGATTAATTTTTTATCAAAGTACGTTTTTCTCTTGTTAAGTGCCATCCGGTTGGTTCCAAATCATAGTGACCCTGTATAGGATTGCCAAGAAGTGGCTAGTGGGTTTGAACCACCAACCTTGTAGTTAGCAGTCAAGTGCTTACCCTAAAGCGCTACAACAGGACTCCAAGTAGAACCTTTTGTTTTGTTTTGTTTTTCTTATGAATTATGTGATAGTTTACATGGGAGAACATTAGCTTTACATTCATCCTATGATATATTGTTTCATTGCCATAGTTACAATCCCCTCCATCCATCAACCAAAGGGTATATACCCCGCAGTCCTGCCCCTCGGTCGTCAGCACACAGCCCCTTTTCCTCTATGGGTCTAGAGTCCCCAGCTGTTCCATCTCTGCCTCCATCTCTGGTGTCACTGTTTCTCTGGGTAGGGTCCTGCTCTCCGCTCTTCTCTCTTCATGGTCCCAGGGACCTCCGCTCCCGAACTGCAAAGTCAACAACTCCCCTCCTTTTGCTACACAACGTCTACCTTTACATTTCCAACCCTCACAATCAGTCCTGATAGCAATTATTCACTATTGTACCACAAGAGTACTATCCCCATCTTCTTTCATCAGCTCCACCCAGACAGATTGGATACTACTCATTGGAGATTCTACCTTCCTCCATGCCTTTTGGATCTACCTCTTGAAAGCTTGTAAGCCTGTCACTTCTTGCCTTTGGAGTCCCCCCATTTTGGGTAGCCAATGTCCAAGTTGCCCATCCCTGTCTACCCTGTGTGTATGGAGGGGCTGGGAACCATCCTTGCTGTAAAGATGTGTTCCCTCTTTTGAGCTACTGCATCCATAGGTGTAGGTCAAGTTCATCAAGTTGTATCAGATTATTCTTTTTTTCCCCCCTCTTCTTTCTTCTAGTTGAGTTCTGATCAACCATTGAAGCCAGGTCAATGAGTGTTATCTGTAAGTTGTGGGTGTTCTTGTGCATATGCCCTCACTTCTTATCAGCTGGATGCTTCACTCTCCACTCTAGTCCTCTGTAGCTATGTCACTGTCTCTGAGCCCAGGAGTCCCCAGGTCTTGCCATACTGCTGGCCAACAAGGTCTCCACCTGGGTTCACAGAAGACCATTGAACGTGGTCAGTCTTAGCTCTCGACTTCATTGCTGTTTTTCCCTCACTTCCCCTTATCGGTGACCAGTGTGGTCACCCATCAGACCGCATGCCTGCTTGTGTATTCCCCCTGAGTCTTAGTCTTGGAAAGGAGTTTGCCCTGAGGGGACTCGACCACTTGCCTTGATGTCTCCTGGGTGAGCAACTTCCTTGTTCTTGTAGTAGTCAGTCGGACTGCTGTTACTGTTTTATATTTTTCCTGTAGGTCTTTCTTTCAAGAAGTATATTCTGTTCTTCTAGCCACTCCAGGCTGGTCTGCTTGTCCTTCAAGGGGAGAATTCCCACCTCAGAAGATTCTGGATGGGGTTCTGGATTCCACCTGTGGTCTTATGTAATGCAAAGGCTCCGCAGGAAGCGTCCTTCACTGGGCAAGATGTAGCCCCATTTTAGATATTCCAATCAGTTATAGGCAGAAGACGGACTTAAAAGCTTTCTATGGTGATAACTTCTGGCTATTCCTTTTTCTCCCTGCCAAGTGTCTGTTTTACAGTGTAGAACCTATTTTTATTAGCTTCCATGACCCTATGCACAAAAGAATGAAGCACTGTCTGGTCCTGCACCATATTCAGAATTGTTATGCTTGAGCCCATTGCTGATACCATTGTGTTTCCCCATCTCGTTGGGGAGCGTCCTCTTTTCTGCTGACCTTCCACTTTACCAGGCATGATGACCTTCTCCAGGGACTGGTCAGCCTGATAATATGCCCAAAGTATGAGAGATGAAGTCTTGCCATCCTGGACACTAAGGAGCATTCTGGCTGTTTTTATTCCAATACAATTCTTTGGAAGCAGTCCACAGCACTTTTAATATTCTCCAACACCATTACTCAAGTACATTAATTCTTTTACAGTCTTCCATATTCACTGTCCAACTTTCACATGCAAATATATGAAGCGACTTAAAATGCCACACATGGCTTGGGTCAGGCACACCTTTGTCCTCAAACTGACATCTTTGCTCTTGAACACTTCAAAGAGGTCTTGTGCAGCAGATTTGCCTTAGTGTAATACCTCATTTAATTTCTTGACTGCTGCTTTCATTACTATTTATGGTTGATCCAAGCAAAATGAAGTCTTAGACAACTTCAGTCTTTTCTCCATTTGTCTTGATGTTACTTATTGGTCCAGTGGTGAGGATTTTTGTTTTTTTCACACTGAGGTGCAACCTATAGTGAAGGCTGTAGTCTTTGACCTTCATCAGTATTTTAAGTCCTCTTGCTTTCAGAAAGCAAGGTTGTATCATCTGCATATTGTTATTGTTAAGTACCATTGAGTCAGTCTGACAAAGCAACCTGGTACAGGGTTCCCAAGGAGTGGCTGGTGAGTTTGAACTTGTGGTTCAAACTGACCTTGCAGTCCTGTGCTTATCCTATAGTGCCACACCAGGACTCCATCCATGTACAATTATCATCCATTAACAATCTACATATAGTAGGTTGTTAATGAGTCTTCCTCCAACCCCAGTGCTGAGGTATTCATATAATTTAGCTTCTCAAATTAGTTGCTCAACATACAGATTGTTGTTGTTAAGTGCCGTCGAGTCAGTTCCGACCCATAGCGACCCTGTACAGGGTTTCCGAGGGTGTAAATCTTTACAGTAATAGAAAGCCTCATCTTTCTTCCGCAGAGCGACTGGTAGTTTCGAACCGCTGACCTTAAGGTTCGCAGCACGATTCGTAACCACTACGCTACCAAAGCTCCTCAACATACAGATTAAGTATGGTGAAAGAATACAACCTTCAACACACCTTTCCTTATTTTAAACCATTCAGTGTTTCCTTCTGTTTGAACAACTGCCCCTGATCTATGTACAGTTCTTCATGAGCACAATTAAGTGTTCCAGAATACTCATTCTCTGCAATGTCCATAGCTTGTCATAAGACACACAATCGAAAGCCTTTGCCTACTCAATAAAGCACAAGTAAACATCTTTCTGGTATTCTCTGATTTCAGTCAAGATCCACCTGATGTCAGCAGTAAGACCCCTAGTACCTTGTTCTCTTCAGAACCTGGCTTGAACCTCTGGACGTTCTCTGTCGGTTACAGGGTTTTACTTAAAGTAAATCTTGAAATACTATTTTTAATGGTGAATGCAATGCCATTCCTCTTCAATTTATCTCTCTAGGCATAGTAAAGCGGTGATTGTCCGGCTCAAAATGGCCAATACTGTCCATTTTAGCTCACTAATGCCTAGGATATTGATGTTTATGCATTCCAGTTCATTTTTGCCAACTTCCAGTTCTCCTATATTCATACTTCGAACATTCCATGTTCCAATTATTAATGGATGTGTACAGCTGTTTCTCCTCATTTTGAGTTGTGCCATATCAGCAAATGAAGGTCTCAAAAGCTTTACTCCATTCTACTTCAAGGAGGCAGCTCTTCCCCAGTCATATTTTGAGTGCCTTCCAATCTGAGAGGCTCATTTTCCGGCTCTGTATCTACCAGTATTCTGGTGTTCTTCATTATGTTTCAGTATTCAATATTCTGGTAGTGTTGCACTGCTATTCATAAGGTTTTCAGTGAATTTATATTTGAAAGCAGCCTGTTATTCTTCCTAGTCTGTCTTAGTCTGGAAGCTCATCTGAACCTTGCCCACCATGGGTGACCCTGCTGATATTGTAAATACTGGTGGCCTAACTACCAGCATCACAGCAACATGCAAACCACCACATTATGACAAACTGACAGATGAGTAATGCATATCAATGATATTGTCCAATGATTTCCGCATTCTGTTGGATCACCTCTCTTTGAAATGGGCACAGATATGGATCTTTTCCAATCAGTTGGCCAGGAAACTCTTTTCCAGATTTCTTGGCATAGATGAGTGAGTTCCTCCATTGTTGCATCAGTTTGTTGAAAGATTTCAATTTGTATTAATCAATTCCAGGGCCTTGTTCTTTGCCAATGCTTTCAGTGCACCTTGGACTTCTTCCTTAAGTACCATTTTGTTCTTGATCATATGCTATATCTTGAAATGGTTGAACATCGACCATTTCTTTTTGGTACAGAGACTGCATTCTTTCCATCTTCTTTTCATGCCTTTTGCATCATTCAGTACTTTTCCCATTGTTGCTGTTGTTAAGTGCCCTAAGTTGATTCCAACCCATAGTGATCCTGTATAGGGTTTTCAAGGATCGGCTGATGAGCTTGAACTACCAACCTAGATTCATACTTTATACATTCCATTTTCTTATCATCAATCGATGCTTACAGCTGTTTCTAAGGAACCCTGGTAGCTTAGTGGATTGTGAATTGGGCTGCTAAATGTAAGGTCAGTAGTTTGAATGTACCATGAATGTACCAGGCGGTCAGCTTAAGAAAGGTGAAGCTTTCTGCTCCTGTAAAGATTTATAGAAACCCTGTACAGGGTCACTTGGAGTTGGAATCGATTTGGTGGCACACCACCACCATCGCCACCACCACCACTGCAGTTTCTCCTCAAGTTGTGTCCCATCAAATGAAGGTCCTGAACGCTTTGCTCTGTTCATGTCATTATGGTCAACTGTACTTTGAGGAGGCAGCTCTTCCCTAGTTGTATTTTGAATGCCTTCCAACCTGAGAGGCTCATCTTCTGGCACTGTGTCTGACAATGTTCCACAGCTATTCATAAGGTGCTGAATGGCTAGCCATTTGGATTATGCCTCTGCTTCCAGGAAGCTCCACTGAAACCTGTTTACCATGGGTGACTACTGGAATTAAAATACTGGTGCCATAGATTGCAGCATCACAGCAACATACAAGCCACCACAGTATGACAAACTCACAGATGAGTGGTGGTCTCAAGCTTTCGTTACATAGAATCACTTGTTAAGTGCCTTTGAGTGGGTTCCAACCCATAGCAACCCTGTATAGGGTTTCTGAGGAGTCACTGGTGAGCTTGAACTGCTGACTGCGGTTCAAACCGACTTGGCAGTTCAGTGCATGAACTCACAGCGCCAAACCAGGACTCCTCTAATCACTTGCCCCCTCAATATGTCTACTGGGATGCCCCATTGGTATCTCAAACTCTAGGTCAAAATCTGAACTCAGCTCTGCAGACGCCCCAAACTTTTCCTTGGCCCCCGACTTGGCATCATCCTTGACTTTTCAGTCTTATTCCACATCCAGCCATTCCATAGTTCTGACCATCCTAGTTCCAGAATGTCCTTGAAACAATCCTCCATCCCATGGCCATTACTCTGGTAGGTGGTCCATTTACTCATGAAATAAATGTATGTAAGGGTTAAACCATCTACCTGTGGGCTGTAGACGCAGCGTGGAGCTCTGTCTGCACCTGCTGTTGGCTGCACGAGCGAGAAGACACCTTGCTCTTCTCACTTCTCTATGCAGCTCACTTCACTGAACTCCTGCGGCTTGTCAGGTGAAGTGACGATAGCTTTTAAATTTTTAAAAAAGACCAGAGGTGATACAATTTCCCCGCAAGGTAAGGAGGCATTCACGACATAAGACTCCAGGTCACCATCTCTCCTTCTCTTTCTTGGCTGGAGAAAGATGTCGTGTTTGGTAAGGTGGAGGAGGGTCAGACCCCCAACGAAATGGATTGGCCAAATGGCAGCATCGATTTGCTCAAGCGTGGTAACGATAGTGAGGTTGGCCCAGGACCAGGCAGTGTTTCGTTCTTCTGTGCATAAGGTCGGCACTGACTTGATGGCACCTAACAACAATCTCAATGAGAAGGAGCTCTGGTAGCGTAGTGGATTATAAACTGGGCTGCTAACCTCAAGGTAACTCGAATCTACCAGTCGCTACACGGGAGAAAGATGAGGCTTTGTGCTCTCGTCAAGATTTTCAACCTCGAAAACCCTATACAGACGGTCGCTGTAAGTCGAAATCAACTCGGAGGCATGCAACTACCACCACATCTATGAGGGACGACCAGAGTGCTCCCGCTGGCCGGAAGGGGTCGCTCTAAGGCGGAGCAGATACTCCGTGCGCTGGGGTCGCTCTTGCTCGCTGCTCACGCAGGCGCAGAGGACAGTTCCGGCACCGGGCCGCCCTTTGCAGCTCCCTGGCGGGCATGCTGCGGCTCGGCAGCGTGCAGCGGCAGTTGTGGGCAGTCTTCGATACTTGGTCCTCTGCGCGGCTCCCTTTTGGCGCCGACATGCCGAAGAAGGCTGGTGCAACGAACAAGGCCAGTGAAAAGTCCTGTGTCACCTAGAGGGTGGGCCGCAGGGATGCTTGCTGAGGAGCGCGAGGGGAGGAGAAGCGAACCCTGTGGGTCCCGGACCAGGTGGGGCGCGATGAGTGCGTGGGTGAGAGGCACCGCCCGCAGTTTGTTGTCACTCGGTTCCGGGCCCAGGACAGCCGGGTTGGACAGCTTCCTTTAAGCCCCTGCCTTAGAGCCTTGGCCCGGCGGCACCCGAGGTTCTTCCAGAACTGGGTCTGTCGCCTTCATCTCGCACACACCCAGGCTAGCCCTCCATGGTCCAGCATACTAGTAACGTCCCTGCTGTCAGGAGCACATCGCTCCTACTTCCACCATGGACTCCCTGGTACGGCGCTGTGGGATCAGCACAGACTGCAAACTCCAGGGTCGGCGGTTCAGATCCACCAGCTGCTCCTTGGAAACTAGACAGGGTTATTGTGTGTCGGAACCGACTCCACGGCACTGAATAACAACTACTTCCATGCTTGCTTGGCTAAGCACTGCTGAGTTTCTAAAGAGTCAGCTGGAGCGTTGCCTCCTGCTACCAGCTTTCTGGTCTCCGAAGGCTGGATTGCCTTCGCTGTGTGCAGGAAAGCCTGTGCGTGCCCGTGTTGATGCACTTAGCATGGTGTCTTATAATCCTGATCATTCTCCCTCGACGCCCCTTTAGGGCACGGACTATGTATCTCTACTCACCTTGGTCGTGGGGCTCAGTTAATACTTCCTGAATGAACTGTTGAATGAAGACGCATGGAGGAGATTGTAATCACTGCAATAAAACGAAATAGGATAGGACGAGTGTAAAACCAACCTTTTCCTGTGTAAACTATCACTCAATTCACAATAAAAACGTTAAAAAATACATTAAAGGAATGGAGTTCATAGTACAGTTTCTGTCACATGTTGTTAAGTGCCGTTGAGTCGATTCTGTATAAGGGTTTCCAAAGACCAGCCTGTGAGTTTGAACCGCCAATCTTATGATTCAAGCCGACCTTGAGGTTGAGTTCTTATCCTACAGCGCCACAGCAGGACTCCACTCCGTCCCAGGTGGTGGTGGTGTGCCGTGGATGGAGTGGAGTCAGTTCTGCCTCCTAGCGACCCTGCACAGGGTCTCTGAAGCTGTAAATCTTTACGGGAGCAGAAAGCCTCCTCTATCTCCCGAGAAATGACTGGTACATAGTAGGCATTTAAATATCTGCCACTGTTCTTTTTCTCACCCCCGACACCTACACACATACCCACTTCTAGCCATAGTTGTTCACAGACAAAACATTTATTAGCTCCTACTCATTGGACACAAAGCTGAGTATTAAATAATCCCTGTTCCGGGATAATTGGAAGCATAAAGCTTGTGGTAAGCACCAGAACTAAGATGTAGGAGCCAGAGTCAGATCTTCCTAGGCAGGAGAAAGCACTTTGTGGGGTTGATGGGAAGACTTTATGGAAGAATTGAGTTGAGCCTTGAAGGAGGACAGGAATGCATTCTAAAACCAAAAACCAACCTCAGTTTATTTGGTGCTGATTCATGGCTTCTGTTCAGACCTCCCGGGACATGACTGATTAGTTTGTCTTGCTTAGAGATGCAGAGAAGTAGTGGGCAGATCACATTAAACGTGTGGGAAAATACATTATCATCTGTAAGATTGTAGTGTGGTTGTTGTCATTTTTAGGGTAAAAGCCAGAACAAGGAACCAGAACGACCACTTCCTTCCTCAGGTCCTGTGGCAGTTGATCCTAAAGGTTGTATCACCATCGCCATCCATGCCAAACCTGGCTCCAAACAAAATGCTGTAACAGGTATATTTGGACACCTGGGTGAGGTTCATGCTCGGGAAGGGTGCCGCCTCCATTCTTCCTTGATCTTGGTTAGCTGAAAGCTTATCCTATGAAAGTCAAATGTCTACTCCCTCTGAATCCTGATGTAAAGGTGCAATTCTAGTGTTTGAAAGTGAGTTATGTTTTTTATTTTTAAACATGCTAAACTATGAAAAACTGGATATTGTTCTTTTAAACATGGTATTTAAAAGAGACATATATAGAGACATGTGCATGCTATTTATTCTGTTTTTCCATTTATTCTGTTCCAAAAGTGGAGTCATTGACCAGAGAAAATAAGGAGAGACCGTTTCATTCAGTGTCAGGATCACTGGCCTAAGAAACCTTGGCCCAGTGCTCTTGAGTCAGTTTTGTCTCTAAGTGACCCTCTAGGACAGAGAGTACAACTGCCTCATAGGGTTCCCAAGGCTGAGAATCTTTATGGAAGCAGAATGCCTCATCTTTCTCCCATACGATGGCTGGTGGGGGCCAGCTGAAGGTTGGTGGGTAAATGCATTAACCACTGTGCCACCAAGGCTCCTCACTGCCTAAGGAAGGGGAGAGAATCTGAGAGGTTTTAAGTAAGTTGCCAGGGACAGTATTTCATGTGGTGCTGTGAGTTAAAGGGCTGGACTGCAAGGTCAGTTTGAAACGCAAGGTCGATGATTCAAGCTCACCAGTCGCTCCTCAGGAACTCTATACAGGGTCGCTATGGGTTGGAACAACAACAAAGATACCGTCAACTATAAAGTACATGAGCTTTTTATGTGTGGTACTGTAGGATAAGCAATAGACTGCTAACTGCAGGGTTGGCTGTTCAAACCCATGAGCCCCTCCTTAGGAACCCTGTACAGGGTTGCTGAGTCAGAACCAACTCGAGGTGAACCTGTATAGGATTTCTGAGGCTGTGAATCTTGGCAGGAATAGAAAGCCTCATCTTTGACCTGCAGAGTCACTGGTGGGCTCCAACCACGACCTTGTGGTTCATAAGCCAGTGCTTATCCTGCAGAGCCGCTGCACTCCCACTGATAGTTAAATGGAGTCGCTGTGTGGCACAAACAGAGACGTGTTTGACGGCTAACCGAAAGGTTGGCAGTTCGAACCCACCCAGAGGTGCTTCAGAAGAAAGGCCTGGCAATCGGCTTCAGAAAGGACTCCCCCTCCCCCAGCACCCTGTGGAGTACCGTGCTCCTCTGGCACAGGGTCACTGTAAATTAGAATCAATTCATTGCCAACTGTTAACAACTTCACACCTTTGTTGCTGTTGCTAAGTGTCATGGATTCAGTTCCATCTCAGAGACCCTGTGCATGGTTTCCAAGGAGCAGCTGGTGGGTATCAACTGCTGACCATGTGGCCCACAGTCCAGTGCTTATCCTACAGCACCATACCAGTCATCGATTACAAGACACGTCTTGATTTCAAAGATAGGAAAATGTGAAGATCTGTAACTTTAGAATCAATCAAGCCTGTGACAGGCCACTGGTGGGTACTGTAGTCCTGTTTACACAGGTAGAGTGTGATGTTGTAAGTATTGTCGAATCATGTGTGGAAATGCCTAAGTAACCCTAGGTGTAGGGTCATCTCCAGTGCACTTGCAAACTGTTTTCAGTAGATCCTGTATTAGCAGTAACAGGTTGCTCTTATGAAGGCTACACTAATGGAGAGGCTGGACCACTCTGTAAACTCATTCTTTGTCCATGGATTCCAAAACCTAAGTTCACATGCATTTCTGAATCAGATCATCCCTCCCTAGCTTGCGACCTTGGCCAAATTACCTTTCTGGTTTCTTTATTTTTAAAATGGAGATACTAATGGGCTATTGGAGTCCTGGCATCATGCTGTAGAATAAGTACTGGATTACTAACTGCACGGTTGGTGGTTCAAACCCACCAGCCACGCAAACGGGTGGGGAATGTCCGACCCACTGACGGGAATCATTTGGTTTGGTCCTGCCAATCTAGGTGCTTTTTTCATGATAACCTAAATTTATATTAAGTATAGGACAGAGTCCTGGTGTGGCGCTGTGGATTAATGCGCCAGACTGCAAAGCCATTTGAATTGCAAGGTCAGCGGTTCAAGCTCACTAGCTGCTCCTCGGAAACCCTATACAAGGTCACCATGGGTCGGAACCGACTCGACGGCACTTCACAACAACAACAATGTTATAAATAAGGAGCTCTGGTAGCGTAGTGGTTACGAATCGGGCTGCGAAATGCAAAGTCAGCAGTTCGAAACTACCAGCTGTTCTGCGGGAGAAAGATGAGGCTTTCTGCTCCCATAAAGATTTTCAGCCTCAGAAACCCTGTGCAGGGTCACTATGAGTCGGAACCGACTCCACGGTACATAACCACCACCACCAATGTTATAATATCCATGGCCTATGGCAGAAAAAAAGTTCCCACCTCTACCTTGGATTCCTGGTATGGCACTGTGGGTTAATGTGCTGGACTGAAAAGTTGTTTGAATCTCAAGGTTGGCAGCTCAAGCTCACTGGCCGCTCCTCAGAAACCTTATACAGGGTCTCTGTGGGTCGGAACCTACTTGACGGCACTTAAAATTAAATAACACCCCCCTACCTTAGAAACTGCATTGGGTTGCTATGAGTTGAAAGTGATTCCATGGCACTTAACAACAACAGTGGTATAATAGCATCTTCATAAAATCATTATAAGAAATAAACAAGTTAATATTAAGATATCTCTTAAAATGTGCATGCCCTTAAAATCAGTGTGTAGTAAACGGTATGTAAATTTTTACTGAGTTATATCATTAAATTAAAAAATATTAAAAATACATTTCACAGTATGCTTGCCATGAAGTGGTCTACCATTCAAAATCAAAAGGGCAGCATTTACCTAAAAACAGTTGAGAAGGGTTGGGAAGGTGGGTGGAATGGAAATGGAACCCCAGGGAGGAAGTGGGATGACTTGTTACGTGGAGGGGATTGCAGTTATTGAGATGAAACCAAGTGTAGGATCTATTGGATGTAGAGCACATTGTGTAGGCTTGGCATGATCAGCAGAGTAGGCCAAATAGCCGATTTATTTTCTGGATTTCTTTAATGGTGATGGTGGTGGTGTGCGTGGAGTCGGTTTGATTCACAGCGACCCTGTACAGGATTTCCGAGGCTGTAAATCTTTACGGGAGTTGAAATCCTCATCCCTCTGCTGCAGAACAGCTGGTAGTTTCAAACTGCTGACCTTGAGGTTAGCAGCCTGACTCGTAACCACTAAACTAGAGGCATATTTATCATGCTTAAGTTCCTCTGTGTTAAGTTTAATCATTTATTTACTGAGTCAGCTGTTATTAATCGAAAACCTTTATGTGTTTCAAAAATCAACAACCCTCTTTTGCAAAAATATCCTCACTTTGTAAAGAAGAAGAATGCTGTCAGGCCGTAAGGTTCCAGTGCACACGCTCTGTTTCAGATGTGACAGCTGAAGCCATCGGCGTAGCTATTGCTGCACCGCCGTCAGAAGGCGAGGCTAACGCTGAGCTCTGCCGCTACCTCTCCAAGGTCTTGGAACTCAGGAAGAGTGATGTCATTTTGGATAAGGTAGGCTTTACTCTCTTTTTAAACTTCTTTGATTAGTACACACTAATCAAGGAGTCCTGGTAGTGTGGTGAGTTGTGCACTGGGCTGCAAATTACAAGGTCAGACGTTCAAATCCACAAGCTGCTCCATGGGAGAAAGACAAGGCTTTCTGCTTCCGTAAAGATTTATAGTCTCAGAAACCCTATACGGGGTTATTATGGGTCAGAACCAACTAGACAGCACACACCCACCAACTAGACAGCACACACCCACCACAATCATATTAATAAAGTATTTGTTCTTTTCCAGTTACCTGAAAAGCCAAGTGTTTTATTCTTTAATATTCATACGATCACTAAAATCTGTAAGTTCTTCTAGCTAGCCTCCTTCATTCCCACTTCCTCAGCCCTTATTCAGAATGTCCATGCCATATTCTTCTGTTCCTTGTTTCCATCCTATTCTTTCTGAATTCATCCCTCTTTCTCTGTCAGATGAATCCTGCTCACCTCTCCGTTAAGTCACCCCACACTAAAAATCTAATAGGGTTCCTGTGGCCATCTCTATGAACAGGGCATCCGAATTTCTGATTGCCCACATTGTCCTCGCTCACTCGGAGGAACTCATTAGGAAGACAGGTTTGTGTGGAACCCCCAGTCCCTTGATTTTGGGAGTGGTTTCCCTTAGACTTGGTGAAGTAGAACCTGCAGGAGTGGGGCCAGCCAGGTTTATATTATATTTTGTCACGTTCTCCTTGCTTTCCCTGATCCGCACATTGTGTTGCTAACTACAAAGTCAGCAGTTTGAATATCCACAGGAGAAAGACGAGGCTTTCTGCCCCCGTAAAGATCTGCAGCCGCAGAAACTCTGTACAGGGTCGCTGAGTCAGAACCGACTCGGCGGCATATTGCCACCACCACTTGGTTTCCAGAGTGACAGAGATAGCTCCCCTTGGGATTCCAGTTGGCATTCAGAGCCGTTGAGTAGCAGGCTCTCCCTAAAATCGTCTGATCAGGCCCCTCACCTGGGCAGGGTCATCCCTGGTTCTCTGCCAGTGCTCAGGCACTGACTGCCCATAAAGTGCTAACTCTCCCTCCTCTTCCTGTGCAAATTCTACTCATTTAGATAAATCCCTGCCCAAAAGAGTCCCCTTTTAAAAGATGTGTTTCAAAGAATAGCCTTGTAAAAGATGTAGAGTCACAGCCCTTGGATGTGTGGTCGCTTTTGAAATTTCCATAAATGTGTGTGTCTGGATAATGTTGTGAAGTGCCATTGAGTCAGTTCTGACCCATAGCAACCCTGTATAGGGTTTCCCAGGAGTGACTGGTGAGTTTGAACTGCCACCCTTTCGGTCCAGTACATAAATCCACATCGCCGTATGTTTGGGATTGTTTTTATACAAAGTTTATATAAAATTGCAATATTTATTTTGGCAATTTAAACTTCTTAAATGTACACAAAATAATTCTTTGGAATAAGAGTATTTCAAATCTGGGTTCCATATTCATGTTGAATTTATTCCAAATTTTTTGTTATTCTAGAAATTGACATATAAAGACCCTAGAGAGTTATAAACATTTGTAATAAGTGGAATCTGAGAGTCTTTAATTAGACCTGAGTGACCAGAAATGCTAGCTCAGTGGCCAGGAAGCCCCAGTGTCCCCTGAGGGAGCTTGTGAGGACACAGTGCAACTGGAGATGGGCGAAGTCTGCTCTCTCCAACAGCATGAGAAAGTGCTAAGTGCATTATCCTAACACTGATTTCTTTTCCATCCAGGGTGGTAAGTCTCGTGAAAAGGTGGTGAAGATTTTGGCCTCTACAACTCCAGAAGAGATCCTGGGCAAATTACAAAAGGAAGCTGAAAATAAATAGAGGCAAGCAATGAAAACTAGATCCTTAAAGAGACTTTTTTTTATTGCTAAGAATACGGAGACTATTGAATAGGAAACACATTTAAATGCACAAAAAGCATGGAAATACATTTTTTAATAAATAGCCAAAAGAGAAGAAGAATTTTAAAAAGTTCTATTGAATATGGAATGCAGGATTTTAAATTCTGATCCAAACAGCTTGGAGCATGTTCGTCTGATTTAAGTGCATTACAAAATGACAGCTGGAAAGTGAGTCCTTTACATTTTATGGTGGGACTTCTGCCTCCCAGAGGCTCACACTGTACAAGACAGGATCAAGAACCTTGATTCCTAACTGAATGCAGTCTGTCCTGATTGTAAATGAAAGGGACATCTTTTCCACTTTTCTTTTACTTGTTTAGAATGTTTCTGGAGTCTTGAGGATTGCCTTCTAGTCCAGTTTTACAAGGGACAGAAGAATATCTGTCAAACTGTTTTGTATCTTACCTTGTATTTTAAATGCTTATTTAAATGCACAAGTGTTTTCTACATTGAGCATTTTATGAAGAAGTAAATAAGAATTTTAAGACTTGTAATTTAATGTGAATTATAATTTTTAAGATGGCGTTGAATTGTTTTCTCTTCTGAACACTGATGGTGAGTAACTGCAGTTATCAACTACATCAGTTCTTATGTGTCTCCAAAGATCTTTAAAAGAAGAAGAGGATCTGGAAACTATTTTCAGTATTTGTAAAAGCTGATTAGAAAAGGCATCTATATTAAGGCTTCAAAAGCTAGTAACCAATATCTTGTTTTTACCCATTCAGTGCAAGTTATAGTAAACATCGTTGTTAAAGTGCCATCGAGTCGGTTATGACTCAGTACAACCCTGTGTAGATTTTCCAAGGAGTGGCTGATGGGTTTGAACCACCAACCTTGTGGTTAGCAGTCCAGTGCTTATCCTACAGCGCCACACCATGACTCACATGGTAAACATAGTAAGGTAAATCATTTAACAATTTTGTGCTGACCAGAAAAGCTGATTTGTAGTTGTATACTTTAATAAATACATAAGAAACTTTATTGATATACAGAAATATTAAAAAACACAAAATCTGCAATAAGAAACTATAAAACCGTGTCTTGGTGATAAAAGAAGAGGGACCCACTCATCTAGTTGCTTTTGTTGTTAAGTGTCGTCTAGTCGATTCCGATCCATATACAGGGGTATAGGGCTTCCAAGGAGCAGCTGATGAGTTTGAACCACCAACCTTACAGTTCGAACGACTTTGCAGTCTGACGCATTAGTGCACAGTGCCACACCAGGAGTCCATTCATCTAGTACAGGTCTCTTGTTTTATTCATTGAAACCAATGCTAGAAAAGTTAGGTGTCTTATCTGAGATAATGTTATGCCCAGAATTCAGGGTCCCCAATGACCACCCAGGAGCCGTCACCGATGTAAATACATAAGGGTTGTTTATTCAAGCTCGAGCCAGGTCTCTAACCTCATCCGACGCAGCGGAATAGGGAAAGAGCCTCAAACTTTTTGTCTGCAGGGTTTTTATAGAGTTTTTAAACAGCTCAGGTTTCTCAGCTTTACAATCTTTGGATTGGTTAACAATTGGCAAACTATGAGATGTTACAGTTTAATTGGTCAGGACTGGTGGTCTTTGTTCTTAGGCTAGGGTAAAGGAAAACATCTGGCCTCTGGCCTTGAGCTGCCTGGCTATATATTATTTTCTTGGAGCTAGAGGACGTGCTAAAGCTTATATACGAAATGGATTCTTCTCTTTGGTCCTACAATAACATAGTGAACATTAATGGCAAGCTTGGATTAAAGTTCAGTTTATCTTCTAAACCATGATGTCATTCTACCTCTGTTTTACCTGATCTTGGCTTAAGAACTTTTACCACTCTTTCTCAACTCTGGTCTTCATGTATCTCACTGTTAACATGATTTTCTAGGTGACTAACAGAAACCCAACTCCAGCTGCCTTAAACAGTAAAGGGATTTGCTGGGTCACATACCTGGAAGTCCAGAGGTGAGTGTATGGGGCTTGTGTGTCTCAACTGCTCAATGAAAGACCCGCTGCCTTTGTCCGGACGCTTCAGCAGTGTCGGCTTCATCTTCAAGCCGGTTCCTTCAGGGTCGCTTCAGTACACACACAGCCCCCACCAATAAGGAAAGGCTGCTTGAGATAGCTGTAGCACTTCTTTTCCAAAAGTGACCAATCAGCTTCTTCTGTCTTAGCCCAGATTAGGTTACGTGAATCTTCTGAACTAGCTTCAGCGAATGCCATGCTAGAACGCATTACGTAAACCAGCGACTGGAGAAATGAGACTTGCCCTTATTTGTTCTTAGAGCCATCCTAAAGCTGGAGGTGAGGCCAGCACACTTCAAAGTAAAGGAGTAGGTACAGAATAAGAACCTGAAGACAAGTTGGGGAAAGTTATAAGGAATAGATCAAATTGTTGTTGTTAAGTGCTGTCAAGTCGAGTTTGACCCATAGCGACCCTGTGTAGAGTTTCCGAGGAGCAGCTGGTGAGCTAATGCTGCCAACCTTGCAGTTCAAATGGCTTTGCAGTCTGGCGCATTAACCCACAGCGCCACACCAGGACTCCAGATGTCGAATAGGAGCCAATACATACCCATTATGATAATCTCATTTTAAGTGGTCATATTTTAACATACTGTAATCTTTTTTTGTCTAATCTGTTTCTGGTGGGGAATGGGCAACCTGAAAGTATCTTTGAATAAAGAAGATTCCTTGCAGTGACACTTGGTTTTCAAAAACTTTTACAAGGTTTTTACTGGCCCAGGAGCTGTATTTTAAGACACAATTCCCCGCCTTGGTGTGGTGCTCCAGGCTAACGCGCTGGATTGCAAGGTCAGTTTGAATGAAAAGGTTAGCGGTTCAAGTTCACCAGCTGCTCCTTGGAAACCTTATACAGGGTCGCTATGAGTCAGAACTGACTCAAAGGCACTTAACAACAACAACACTGACCAGTTAGGGAGGTTTGTTAATGTGACTTTTTCAGCCAGGCCCGGGTCTTTTCTCTAAGAATCCTGTCTAAGGCCTAGTGACCTGGCATCATGTAGATAAAATCTCTTAACCCCATAGCATTTATTTGTCTAGTAACATAATTCCAGCCCTGCTTGCCCCATTAATTTAAGTGAATAACAGCTAGCAGTTTGTGAAATGACCCATTGTATTATTTTTTCTGTCCTGTGCAGTCCTGTCTTTTCTATCTTGTGTGTCTTGGCTCTGAGGCAACCAGAAATGAGGTCTGAAAGATGCTTTTCCTCCTCTGGTGACATTCTAGGACTGTGCCTGTCATCTGTCAGCTCTACCTTAATGATAATTGTTGTTGTTTGTTGTGTACCGTCAAGTCAGTTCTGACTCATAGAGACCCTGTGTAGAGTTTTCAAGGAGTGGCTGGTAGGTGTGAACCGCCCACCATAACAGTTAGCGGTGCTTGCAACTTTGCCTATACACCAATGGAACCTGGGAAGTAAAAACCTGACCAATACTACCCCTAAAGGCAGGAACAGAGAATTTAGACTCCTGACTCTTGTATTAATAGTATAATGTTCCACACTGTTCTCTTGGTGAGGGGTTGGAGAGAGAATCAGATGTAGGTGATACTTTGTTGGTGTTGTTAGGTGCTGAGGAGTTGGTTCTAGCTCATAAAAACCCTTTATAGGGTTTCTGAGGCTATAAATCTGTATGGGAGCAGAATGCCTCATCTTTCTCCCATAGGTGGGACCTTAGCAATATTTAAAGTTCCAAATAGCTAAAAACATAAACTTTGTTGTTGTTGTTTTTACGTGCCGTCGAGTCAGTACTGACTCCTACCAACCCTCTGCACAACAGAACGTAACACTGCCTGATCCTGGGCCAACCTCACAATTGTTGCCACGCTTGAGCCCATTGATGCTGCCACTTTGCCAATCTTTGCTTTGTCTTCCTCTTTTTCTCTGACCCTCCACCTTACCAAAGATGAGATCCTTCTCCAGAGACTGGTCCCTCCTGACAATATGTCTGAAGTATGAGAGATGAAGTTTGGCCATCCTGGCCTCCAAGGAGCACTGTGGCTGCACATCTTCCAACACAGATCTATTGGTTCTTTTGACAGTCCATGGCACTTCCAGTATTCTCCTCCAACACCACAACTCAAATGCATCCATTCTTCTCCTGTCCAGCATTCGCATACATATGAGGTTACTGAAAATACCATGGCTTGGGTCGGGTGCACTTCAGTCCTCAAGCTGACATCTTTGTTATTTTGTTATTTTTTGGGCTGTGGACTACCAGCTTCTCTTCTACAGATTCCAAGAGTTCTTGTCATTTCTCAATATGATGCAGAATATAACTGAGAACTCACCGTGGCCAGAGCTTTTTATTTCTTTTGTAGGTGCTACTCTGAGATAAAAGCAAACCACTTTTCTAACACATGTTACTGGTGGTGGTTATGTGCCGTGGAGTCGGTTTCGACTCGTAGCGACCCTGTGCAGGGTTTCCGAGGCTGTAAATCTTTACGGGAACAGAACGCTTCATCTTTTTTCCGTGGAACAGCTGGTAGTTTGGAACTGCTGACCTTGTTCACAGCCACTACACTACCAGAGCTCCTTAATACATGTGACTGTTGTTGTTGTTAAGTGCCATCGAGTCGGTTCCGACCCATAGCGACCCTGTACAGGGTTTCCGAGGGTGTAAATCTTTACGTGAGTAGAAAGCCTCATCTTTCTCCCGCGGAGCGGCTGGTAGTTTCGAACCGCTGACCTTAAGGCTCGCAGCCCAATTCGTAACCACTACGCTACCAGAGCTCCTTAATACATGTAACTAGAGACTAAAATTTGAGCAGCAGGATTTACAATCTACATCCATGAGGTGGCGCCATAATGCAACAGCAGAAAGCCACACACTTTTGGAGATGGGAATTGACTTGATTCTTTTAGAAATGAACAAATCCCTTCTGTATTGCCTACAACCAGACCCTGAGCCTTCTTTTATGGTCT